AAAACATTACCATTATTACAAATAAAATCTGGGTTATAGGATGTAGCTTATGTGTGAGAGCAACTAGTCTTTCCAAATTGAACCCTATCATTGGGGAGAATTACCTGCCCTTTCACAGAAGCTCAGAGAGAAGCAAACTTCACTATGGTGGAGAGAAGAGCCTTCCCCTGGAGAAGCAGCAATGCCAGCCCTCTCTGGAAAGCTCCCTCCCATGAGGAAGAGATGAGAAGTTGAGTTGAGCATACATAGCTGTTTACTTCCGAGTTTATCAGTCAGATAAGTCATGCCACCTCCACTGGTGCAGAGTGAGGAAAGAGGGAGAGAAAGGTCCTTAGTTTTACTGACTGAGCTTCCTTTACCTGGAAGAAAATATCAAGAGTGGGAAAGATGTTCTCCTCTTCTCCTTGCCCCAAAGCTACAACTGTAACTCTGTTACTACCTTTACTACCCAATACAGTAGCTACTAGCTTTGTGTGACTATTTAAACTTTTATTTATGAAAATTAAATAAAATTAAAAATTCAGTTTCTCGGTCACACTGGTAATATTCCAAATACTGAGTAGTCCCATGTGTTTTGTATCTACCATATTGGGCAATACAGTTATAGAACATTTCCAGTGGATGGTGCTATTGTAACCGGGTTTTTTTCTTGGGTGCTAGTGAGGCACAGATCCCCTGAGAGAATGCTGTGGGTTCCTGGCTTCCAATCTCTTAAATAATAAGTGATGTGACCACTGCAGGTGCACCGTATAGTCATAAAAGTAAATATTGGACCCAAGAAAGGTGATTTTATTTAGGTAGAGAAAAGAGAATAAAAGGAGAAGAAGAGAAAGACTTCCACGAAGAATGTGGAAGGGGATTCCAGAGGGGAAATGCCAGAGGGGAAAGGAAGCTCCCACCATGTGGGACGGGATTCCAGAGAGCTGGAAATCCAGCATGGGTGAAGGAGCAGGGGAATTTATCCTGGGAGAGATTCCCACCTTCCCAAGTTCCTCTGGCCAATGAAAGGAGTTCCTTTAAACTTCCACTGGGGTGATTGACTCTTATTTTCTTCCTGATCCCATGAAATTCAAACATAAACTGTTGACTCTCCCAGATGGAGAGAGATGGGACAGGGGCATGGCACTGGGAAAATTTTGCCGTTAAAACTATGCATCCTTTTGGACCCAGTAAGAGAATACATTCCTTTACTGTTATGAGATTTTACCCTACTCATTTTTGTATTATCAATGCCTATAAAAAGGCCTGACCTTGAGGCCCTCAAAAATGTTTGCTGGAAAGGCACACTGGCTCATGCCTGTAATCCTAACACTTGGGGAGGCCAAGGTGGGAGGATCACTTGAGCCCAGGGGTTTGAGGCCAGCCTGGGCCACATGTAAAGAAAACCTATCTCTAAAAAAAAAAAAATTAAGCTAGCTGGACATGGTAGTATTCATCTGTGGTCCCAGATACTTGGGAGGCTGGATTAGGCCACTCTCACACTGCTGATAAAGACATACCCAAGACTGGGTAATTTATAAAGAAAAAGAGGTTCAGTGGATTCACAATTCCAAGTGGCTGGGGAGGCCTCACAATCACGGCAGAAGGCAAAAGGCACATTTACATGGTGGCAGACAAGAAAGGAGAGCCAAACAAAGGAGGAAACCTCTTATAAAACCATCATGTCTCATGAGTCTTATTCACTACCACAAGAACAGTATGGGAGAGACTGCCCAGTGATTCAGTTATCTCCTACCAGGTCCCTCCCACAACACATGGAGTTTGAGTTGAGATTTGAGTTGGAAGACAGAGCCAAACCATATAATTCCACACCGAACCCTCCCGTATCTCATGTCCTTACATTTAAAAACCAATCATGGCTTCCCAACAGTCTCCCAATGTCTTAACTTACTTTAGCATTAACTCAAAAGTCCACAGTCCAAAGTCTTATCTGAGACAGGGCAAGTTCCTTCTGCCTATGAGCCTGTAAAATCAAAAACAAGTTAGTTACTTCTTAGATACAATGGGGATACAGGCATTGGATAAATATGCCCATTCCAAATGGGAGAAATTGGCCAAAATGAAGGGGTTAAAGGTCCCATGCAAGTTCAAAATCCAGCAGGGCAGTAAAACCTTAGAGCTTCAAAATGGTCTCCTTTGACTCCATATCTCACATCCAGGTCACACTGATGTATGAGATGGGTTTCCATGGTCTTGAGCAGCTCTGCCCCTGTGGCTTTGCAGAGTACAGCCTTTCTCTCGGCTGTTTTCATGGGCTGGTATTGAGTGTCTGTGGCTTTTCCAGGTACACTGTGCAAGCTGTCAGTAGATCTACCCTTCTGGGATCTGGAGGATGGTGGCCCTCTTCTCACAGCTTCACTAGGGAGTGCCTCAATGGGGACTCTCCGTGGGTGCTCTCATTCCACATTTCCCTTCAGCACTGCCCTGGCAGAGGTTCTTCATGAGGGCTCTGCCTCTACAGCAAACTTCTGCCTGGACACCAGGTGTTTCCATACATCCTCTGAAATCTAGGTGGAGGTTCCCAAACCTCAATTCATAACTTCTGTGCACCTGCAGGCTCAACACCACATGGAAGCTGCCAAGCCTTGGGGCTTGTACCTTCTGAAGCCACAGCCTGAGCTATACCTTGGCCTCTTTCTGCCAGTACTAGAGTAACTGGGATGCAGGGCACCAAGTGCCTAGGCTTCACACAGCAGGGAGGCCCTGGGCCTGGCCCATGAAACCATTTATTCCTCCTAGGCCTCTGGGCCTCTGTTGGGAGGGGCCCACAGACTCTGATTTGTTCTGGAGACACTTTCCGCATTGTCTTGGCGTTAAGCATTTGGTTTCTTGCTACTTATGCAAATTTCTGCAGCCAACTTGAATTTCTTCTCAGAAAACAGGTTTTTCTTTTTCATCATATCATCAGGCTGCAAATTGTATCAGCATTTTGGTCAAAGCAATTCAGTAAGTCTCTAGGAATCTTTCCCACATCTTTCTGTCTTCTGAGCCCTCCAAGTTTCTAGGAAGTTTCAAACTTTCTCACATTTTCATGTCTTCTTCTGAGAGTCCTCCAAACTATTCCAATGTCTGGGTGTTATCCAGTTCCAAAGTCACTTTCACATTTTTGGGTATATTTACAGCAGCACCCCATTCCCAGTACCAATTTACTCTATTAGTTTGTTTTCATGCTGCTGATAAAGACATACCTGAGACTGGGTAATTTATAAAGAAAAAGAAGTTTAATGAACTCACAATTCTACATGGTTGGGGAGGCCTTACAATTATGGCAGAAGGCAAAAAGCACATCTTACATGGTGGTGGACAGGAGAGAAGGAGAGCCAAACAAAAGCGGAAACCTCCTATAAAACTGTCAGATCTCATGAGACTTATTCACTACCACAAAAATAGTATGGGAGAAACTGTCCCCATGATTCACTTATCTCCCATAGGTCCCTCCCACAACCTGTGGGAATTATGAAAGCTACAATTTAAGATGAGATTTTGGTGTGGACACAGCCAAACCATATCAGAGGCTGAGCTGGGAGGATCACTTGAGCCTGGTAGGTCAGGGCTGCCATGAGCCATGACTGGGCCACTGTATCACAGCCTGAGCAACAGAATGAGACTCTGTCTCAAAAAAGTATTTGTTCAATGAATACATGAAAGTGGACTTTGCAATTTTGTTCATCAAATCTGCATGTTGTAAAGTTCTTTCTTTTTTAGTGCCGCAAAACATGAAAATTGAACATAGATATCTTGTTAAATGAAATAAATCAATTGACGAATATGCATTCTATAATCTTATTTAGAAATAATTATTTGTATGCATGTGTGTGTGCAAGGTGGGGCAGTGGTGGTTAAAAGCATAGAAAAAAAAGTCTTGAAGGGTACATACCAGATTCTATAAATCATCTGGTGGTTGAAATTGAGGGAAAAGAATAAGGAATACCTTTTTTTCCTTAAACATCTTGTTATTAGAAAAATGAATTACTTTTGAGTAAAAAATAAATTAGCAAATAAGGTAGTATGTTAACTTTCTAGAAACTTAAAAAAAATGGTTTTTCTCAATGTCAAGTGTTAGTGAAAGGCAATTTAAGGCAATCTTAACATTTTATGTGTTAAGAAAAACGGTATTGAAGCATAAGGCAACTAACAACCATCAGCCTTTTATTTCCCAAAATATAGCTTCTCTGCTATGCTGCAGAAAAGTATAGGGCCAGTTGGCAGAGTTCACATTTTTCTGTTAGACCTCTTGACCCAGCAGTAGTTTCTCTCACCTCTCCTTATTGAAATTACTTTTGTTCATTGCAGAAGTAATCTTCTCCCTGGGAAGATTGTGGTGTTTGTGTCAGAATACTGACATACTGATTGTGATAATCCTCTTGCAGCCTTACCTCACTCCTCGTTTGATAGTTTATAAGCTCACAGATGCTGGACCAGAATTCAGTCCATAAAATTAAGACATTCTGTTTGACAGGGCCAAATCTAAACTGCTGAAGCAAGAACACTAAAGCATGAAGTGGTGCCTTAAAAAGTAACTAGGGCCATGTAATCCACACTAAAATTCAACCTGGTTTCAAATGAAGATTTTTATATGCTGTAGTAATTTCTTAGGAAAAAAGGGCTCTCATTATGAGACTATTAAAACCAAATGGGAATGACAAATAATATAGAATGAGTAGTTTAATTAGTAGCTCTGCTATTTTGTTTCATGCTCGGTTGATGGGAGAAAAAAATATTTTCATCAAATAATTAAAATGAATAAATTTAAGGATATGATACAGTCACCTAGAAAAATGACGTTAAAAGCAGTCTTGCAAATGAGCATTATATAAATGAAATCTCTGTAATTATTGCATACATTGACTAATATTCAATATTAAATTGTGATGAGTACTAGGCTGGTATAAAATTCCATCAGGATGAATGTATCCCTGAGGGTTGATATTTGAAGAGGCTGAGCTGTTTGGTAGCTTACTCCTTGCTTAATTTTTTTTCTTATTGTTTCTACTTTTCAGACCCACTATGAAAATGGAGAATATATTATCAGGCAAGGTGCAAGAGGGGACACCTTCTTTATCATCAGCAAAGGAACGGTAAGCTTTGGTGGCACAAGACAATGATGCAGTAGGGGAGCCTGGTGTTGGTTAATAACTTCAGTAGGAACACATGCAGAGTCTTGTGCTGTATGAGTTTGTTCCATTTTTTGACACAGAGAGGTATTAGAGAATGGATCTTACAAAAAATTATGCAGGAGGGAAAAAAAGGTGTAACTTTGAATATCAGAAAGTAGCTTACTTGCTAATAATCGTAATATTAGATGGCACTGATATATTTGTGTGAATAGAAAGATCTCCATAATTAAAATAATATAATAAAAAAGAAAATACTGGCTGGATGCGGTGGCTTATGCCTGTAATCCCAGCACTTTGGGAGGCAGAGGCAGGTGGATCACCTGAGGTCAGGAGTTTGAAACCAGCCTGGGCAATGTGGCAAAACCCCATCTATACTCCAAATGCAAAAAATTAGAAATTAGCTTGGGCATGGTGGCACTTGCCTGTGGTCTCAGCTACTTGGGAGGCTGAGGCAGGAGGATCACTTGAGCCCAAGAGGTGAAGGTTACAGTGAGCCAAGATGGTGCCACTGTACTTCAACCTGGGTAATAGAGCAAGCCTTTGCCTCCAAAAAAAAAAAAAAAAAAAAAAAAAAAAAAAAACTTAGATCACTTACAAAATTTATCTAGTCATTAGAAGCAGTAACATTGCTATAATGAAACATCTGGACTTTGAAATTAGATGTCCTAAATTTTAATATTGTCATTTTAGTGCCCTTTGGCAAGTTGCTGAATACTTTGAGGATGATTAGGATAGTTATACATTAATGTTTGAAGTTATTTTCATTAAAATATTGATATTAAAAACTACTAAAAGTGATAAATTATAGAGGAAAGGGTAAAAATGGGATAGACAAGGGTTACGAGTGAAAAATCATACTTTATTTCTTAAACTGTTTAAGCCATTTTAGTTTTTCAACAATATAAATTTATTTATATCTTAAAACTAAGAAATGGAGTGAATTGGAAAATACAATTTTTTTGGATGAATAATATACTATTACTAAAAGTACTTTAAATTTCTTTCCACAGTAAAGTTGTAATCATTTTTGTGTTTGTATCATTACACTATATCCTATGATTTAAACTTATTTTCCTTTGTTATGTATCATTACAAGGAATTTGTATATCTGGATGTACTAACTATAGAAAGAGATGGAGAAGGAAATGCAAAAAAGAATTGATATGCCAGTGTCTGCTTTTATAATAATCACTTTATAAATAAAATAAATTTATTTCTTCTAATTTAACAAAATGACTGACTCTGGTAACTTACAGCTCATATATAGAGAGATTTAGAGCCACAGTGAATTGAATGTGGTGGAAAATTATAAGTATTGTTGAATTACAATTTAGATAATTCTCTTTGGACTAATTTTGGATCAAATATATGCATATGTCAATGTTTACACCAGTGGCATGTCACACTAAAATGAAGAAAATGATATTTATGCTTTTATTTTTCCTATTTTTTGACTGACTAATGAATGCCTGGGTTAGAAGTAAAACTCAAGAGCTGAATTCTTAAAAGGCATCATGAAACGACATGTCTGTCTGACCACAGTTAAAGTAAAAATCGTTTCTTGTATTTTCCAATGTTAGAAATAAGAAAATGTTAATATTTTGTAGTTTATATGATAGATTGTTAGAGCTTATCATTTCTGTCTTATTGTTTAGATTGACTAAAGAATCAGGGAAAGTTGAAAAATAGCATGGATATAAATGACTCAGAAGGTTGCATGGGGAATTTGTCCTTATATTCTGAATTTATTTTTTCATTACTACATTGCTAATTCTTTGCTATCATGGAATGATGTGTTTATCCTTTGAGATGGATTTCTGACAGGCTTTTGTTACCACCCTGTTAGTGCAAATTTTACTGGTTAAAAGTAGTGCTTTGTAATCAGTTTCAGCTGAAGATGGTTGCATTAGTGGTGCCTTTTTACAGGTTGCGAAGTTAGCATAAGTAGAAACAGTGTGGAAATTACACCACAGGAACCAATTCTCTTGGTAATATTTCAGAGCACTGTGGGATTTCTGGGAGTGAAGCAGTACTGATATATTAGACTCTCTTGACATATTCCAGATATTTTATTTTAAACCGGACATAAATTTCTACTAACTTGCTTTTTTAGGTCACACAAGTTAGCTGCTATGATTCTTAATTACATCAATTACATAATAATTGTGTAATACTAATATATTAACAACATCAATTATATTAGTTCTAATATATTAAAATTATTAAGAATATGTCACTATATACAATAATTAGAATATATTAAGTCTTAAGAAGCAGAAGGTGAGGTTAGCATACTTAAGTCCCAATGACAAAGAGCAGGAAAGAGTAAGTTCCCTTCAGCAGGCCAGTAAGTTTTAGATCTGGAATTTTCTACAATTATATGTTCTATGTTTTATTTTAGGTTTGCAGATGTCAACTTGTTTTCCCATGCATTTAAAAAATGTACAAAGGATAACCTTGACCAAGATTTGTTTCTTGTTACCACCAAACTGGCCTTTTCTTTGAAAATGCTCTGAGATAGAAGGAGATCCAACAGGGGCTGCCAAGCTACAAATGAAATTCCCCTTGTTCAGTTCCACTTATTTAAGTGTGAAACAATTTTTATTCTTCCATTAAGCACATTTCACACAAAGAGAGAAGCATTATAAAATAAGCTTTGCAATACTTGTTTTTCCCCATTAAACCTGTGCAATCTGATTTTTCTAAAACCTGAGGCAGAATGCTTACAGTGATGATGGCTAAAGTAGTTGGTGCTGCCTCAAGTAGAAGCTCAGTTAGTTCTCTATACTTCAATCAGTCCATTCCAGTTGCCTGGAAACGTGACTTGCTTCCCTAACAGTGAACTTTAAAGCACCAAAGATTCCTGCATATGTCCCTGAAGTTGTGTCGCATCACAAGATGAACTATCCCTTTACAAATGAATCAAACCAAAATTGAACAGGATGGGTAAACAAAGTTGCAGAGTTCTAATAATAGTTCAAAGGCATTTTCATTTTTCTGAATCTATTTAATCTATCTTATATATCCTACCATTAGAAAAAGATGTGATCCAAAAATTCTTGTCTATCAACTGCCATTTAAAATCACATGACTTAACTTCATAAAATTAACAAGTATTTAAACATTCCAATTAAATATGTTGCCTTAACACAATGCTCAGTGGTTTTGAACATAAAAAGTGTTCTCTTATGGAAATTTTATTTGCATATGTATACATATGTTTATATATACCTTATGGTGAAACCTCTGAGAAATATTTTTTTAATATCAAGAACAAGATAAAAATATACATTATTACCAGTTTTGTTTAGTGTGGTACGAGACGTCCCAACTACTGTAGTGAAAAAGAAATAACATTTATAAATAAATAGTAATTTATATGTGATATGATTTTAGTTTCTTTTAGGATTTTATACAGACATATATATTATTAAAATTAAGAGTTTAGCAAAATCAGCATTATTCAGAACATTTTTCTTCATTAATGGAACTGTTCTATATCTCTACACAACTCAATATAATAGCTATTTGTCACACTTGCTATCTAAAGTAAAATTATCTAATTTAACTTTAATGTCAATATTCAGTAGCAGTAGCCACATTACAATAGCTGCTAGTGGTGACTGTATTGGATATTATAGAACTATATATTTTACTATAAATGAATACTGAAAAGCCATATCATTTAATGTGTTCTACCATATTATCAGTCTAAAGAAGAAAAATCACATTGTCATGTCAACTGATGCAGTGAAAGCATGTGACAAGTGTAACATCCATCCATAATAAAAATTCTCAGCAAACTGACAATATAAATTTCCTACCCTGATACATGGCATTTACAACATGCTTACAGTTAAACATATTAATGGTGCAAAACAGGGCAATCAATAAATGAAAGTAACCAACAATAAAAGGAAAGTCTTTTCAACAAATGGTGTTGGAACCATTAGTAATCCATGGACCAAAACAGAAGAACCTTGATCTAGACTTTATAGCTTATATAAAAACTAAATGAAAATTGATAATAGATTTTAAAGTAAAACATAAAACTATAAAACTTTCAAGAGAAATTTATGACTTGGGATTAGATAGAGAGAGTTCCTAGAGATGATAACACCCGTACAATCCATAAAGAAAAAATGGTAAATTGAGCTTTTTCAAATTTAGAAACTTTTATTCTGTGAAAAAGACTGTTCAGAGAATGGAAAGACGAATTACTAACAGGGATAATTATTTGTAAAGTGCATGTCTGGTAAGGGGCTTTTGTTGATCCTATCATGTATTAATCCTATATGAAAAACACCTAAAAATCAACAAAAAAAACTCTGAAGTACCCATTTAAAAAAAAATGGATGAAGGACTGAACACAATAGCAAAGAAGATACACAAATATCAAGTATGCATGTGAAGAGATGTTCTAATTAGTCATTGGAAAATCACATGTTGAAACCCTGAGATGCTACTGAATACTTAATAGAATGGCTAAATCTAAAAACAAAAATTGACAATATCAAATGCTACTGAGGATTTAGAGCAACAAGAACTCTCACACATTGCTCTTGAGAATGCAAAATGGTAAAGCCATTCTAGAAAACAACTTGGTAGTTTCATACAAAGTTGAATAAACATTTACTGTATGACCTAGCAATTACTCTTTGTGATATTTATCCTAGAAAAATGAAAATATAGCTCACACAAAAAAACTCTGTATCACTGTTTGTAGTATCTCTATTCATGATTGCCAAAGACTAGAAATAAACAAATTATCTTATATTTATTCAATGAAATATTAGTCAGCAATAAAAAGCATAAACTATTGACTCTTGCAACAACTTGGATGAATCTTACAGGCCAAATGCTGAGTAAGAAAAAAAAAGACTGAAAAGGTTAAATATTGTATTATTCTATTTATATGGCATTCTCAAAAAGAAGAATTAGTTTGATGCAGAACAGACTATAGGGGTGAGGAATTGAGAAGAATATGACTATAAATACATAGCATGAAGGAGTTTCTGGAGGTGATGAAATTGTTCTGTATCTAATCTATCTGTATCTGCTGGGAATTAGACAAAGCTATCCACGTGTTTAAGTTCATACAACTATATTCTGAAAAAGAAAAAAAAGTAAATTTCACTGTAGGATAACTTAAAAATTCATGTACATTTCTAAATACTATAACAATAATTAAAATATTTTTTAAAAATACCATTTAAAAATCAAGTATCTAGGCATATCTATAACAAGAAAATGTTCAAGTCTTTTAAGAAGAAAATTGTATTTAAAATAATATAAATGGAGAGCAAACACCAACATGGCAGGACATCTGAAAGAAAGAGAAACATACTGGGAGTTACTATAGAAGATATCAAGCTTATTGTAAGGTTCAGGTAATGGGCAAAAATGTGGCCTTAATTTGACTGAGAACCAGACAAATATGTCAGAATAAGATAGTAAGTCCAGATAAAGATCCATGATAATATGGAAACTTGATTTAGGGTGGCATGGGCACCACAGATATCATAAAAATTGTTTATGCATAGGGACATAAATAAACGTGGATCCCTAATTACACCATATGTAATGTAAGTTTCAGATAAAATGTGAAAAGAAAAATTAGGAAAAAAATTAAAATATAATTGGAAGAATATTTGTATTATCTTGGGATAGGAAAGGATTTCTTGAATAAGATATTTTAAAATGCAAACAACAAAAGATAACATGGTTAAATGTAATTACATTAAAATTAATAAATTTGTTCAACAAAACAGCATAAAGATAGTTTAGACAAACTATAGTCTTGTGAATCAACAACGACAAAAATAAAGATGATCAGTCGAATAGAAAAATGGACAAAAAACATGATCAGACACATCATCAAAAGAAGCACAAGTGTCTTAAAAAATAAGATGATAAAATGTTCCACCTCTATTAATAATAAGGGAAATGCCATCTAATACCTGCCTTTTTGAAAAAAAATCAAAGTCTGACGATATTAACTATTGATAATATAATGTAATATGCATTTTTCATTCACTGATGGTAGGAATGTAAGACTGTACCATGAGTGAGTTGTTACCTAGTAAAATTGAAGATGCATGTATTTAATAACCTTGTTCTTTATTTTTAAATGTTGACCCTAGTGAACTCTTACCCATGGACACCAGAGCACATGCATAAGAATGGTCACAGTAACACTGTTAGTAGCACAATAAAAACAAAATGAAACTAGAAGCAACCCACGTTTACATCTATAGAATTAGTAAATTGCATATGAATACATATAATGAAATACTGTTTAAACAAAGAAAACAAATTTCAGCTATTTATATGAACATGGGTGAATGAGAACCTCAAGAATAAGGGCCCAGTAACCTTGATTTTAAATCAAACTCCCTACTGAAGATTCCACATCTAAAAAAGCTTCATCAGCATGCAAATTAGTGTCTCTATGATACAGCTTAGTAGTAAGTAAAAGTGTTAAAAACTGAATTTCCATGGTTTTGAAACACTGTGTAGAGGAGTAATCAAATGGATCAGTGGAGAATAATAATTGAATTTCCTTCACCTTACACAGACCTTCTTAATACTTATAAAAATTCCTGTTTTTAACATCTAATCTCTAGATTCAGAAACTTGAAGCATAGTGTTATTAAATGTGTTTAAGTGTCTGGCATTGTCTCAAGAAATTAGTTTTTTTTACTTTATCACATTTTCCAGGTAGGTGAATTTTAACTAACCTTTCTAGATGGCACATAGGCAGTTTTATGAATGTTACTAGAGCTTGAGGGGAAAGTGAATGAACACAAAGGTACAAGTTACTCTGTTTGTTTTCGTTCATCCAACAACAACAAAAAATTATCACTTGCCTTATGTGGACTGTCACTTAAGTCACAAGTCCTGTGTGTGCCAGGCTATCTGTGTTGTTAGTAATGACACATTCTTTTAAAACATTTACAACTGTTTATTCAGTGCTTATTATAATTTGTGGAGAATGCTGAAGAAAGACACCTTTCTTTGAAGGACATATTATTTATTATAGTAAAAAGGGGCATGTATGTAATTTATGTATCTTTAAAAATAGAAATCCTACCAAATAAAGCATGTGGATTATGAGGGGATATAGTTAGTCAGAGCCATGCAATCCAAGTTTGTGAAATGTGATGTGTCTTCAAATGAAAGCTGGTTCCTTCTCAGGGAAAAGGACAGGCTTATCATAGAGAAACTACAATATGAATGTGAAGGTATATAGAAGGATGTTCATTTCAGCAAAAAGAAAGAAAAAAAATGAAAACAGTATAGTTGCCAATTTACAAGATATGGGTAAGGAAATATATTTATATGATGAAATAAGACTTATACATGAAAATGAATGAAATAGATTCATATCTAAGAACATGGAATAAATAAAACAATATTAAGAGAAAAAAGTAAGTTGCAGAATGATTAATACCACTTATGTTAGTAGTATATTTTAAAAATATATGTATATAAACACATAAAAAAGATCGACAGAATGCTCAATAAGTTTATTATAGTGGTTGCTTCAGAAAGGTAGGAAAATTAGGATGGATATGAGGAGTGAGATCAAATTAACAAGTAATGTATTATTTCTTTAAGATAACTTGAAAGGATAACAAAATATTTGGAAGTAAGCTCTTGTGGTTTTCCTGGGAATTTTTGATAATTGTTCTTTGGTCCTTATAGTGCTCTTCTTTATAAACATAAACAAGGAAAAGAAACAAGAAATGGAATTAACTTTATTAATTAGTGTTGCATTGATCAATGTGGGTAAGCAGTGGATTTGAACTTTCATTGTTTCTCTTTGTAGGTAAATGTCACTCGTGAAGACTCACCAAATGAGGACCCAGTCTTTCTTAGAACTTTAGGAAAAGGAGACTGGTTTGGAGAGAAAGCCTTGCAGGGGTAAGTAGATCCCATGTTATACAGGTTGTTGTTTGAGTACTACATTAATTCCTGTCTGAAATTTTGAGCTCCTAACACAATAGACTTTTTATTTAGTGCTTATCCTAATACCAAATATAGACCATTGATAATAAATTTTTATTTTCAGCTGGAGTTGGAATCTGTTTGAATAGGTTGTGGAATAAATTCCTTAATTTCTAATAAATCAGTGTTATATTAATTAGAAAAATTTTCAGGTTTGTGTCCTTAATTGCAAACTCTATAACAACTTCAAAGAGAGAAAGTCCCTGCTAAACTTACTTTGTGCAATGATTTCACTCAGAATCATAAGATGGTTGGTTGAAATTTTTGAAATCCCTAAACATGTTTGTAGGAACAGTTGTTATAGGATCTTTGGGGTGTCACTTTCCTGGCTGGAAACACGTGGCTAGTGGCGCCTTTGCTTGAGTTTTGCTCAGGCCCACTTGGCTCATTGTGCCCACTAAGCCTGGCAGGCTGCATTCAGTTCACACTACCAACTTGCCACATATCCAAGGGAGACTGCAAGTCAGGTGTGAAGTGGTGAGAGGCATGTGAGCAAGTGTGGGGTCCAGCCACTCTGCAGGCAAACAAACTGGCTGCTGCCTGAAGCGGGCAGCTCCAGGTGCCAGCACAAGCAACAGCTCTTTGTGAGGTAGTGGCTGGATCAGGCATACCACAAGCAGCTTCCCTGGCTGGCACTAGGGAATGTGCTGGTGCCCAGAAGCTTGGAGACACCAGGAACTGCATAGCCCCAGAGAGTGAGTCACAGCCTTGGCTTGGGGAGCTCCCAGGTCCGGGTCCCCCAAAAGGCTGCAGCTCTTCTCTACTTGTGTTTGCCTGCAATGTGGCAAGCAAGGGGCACGTTTCAGCCCTGTTTGTGTTACAACTCTTTTAACCTCACCATTTGGTTGGTCTGAGTTCTTGTCCTGTGGCCAGTAAAAATGTGATATGCAGACACGTGGAGGTTGAACAAGACACAGAGGAGCTTTATTGAGCAATAGAACAGCCAGAGAAAACCTGCAGTGGGCAGCCTTTCTCCATAGACAACGTGTCCCAATGAGTGTTTAGCTCCTAGCTGAGAGAGAAGTTCCTCTTTGCAGGCAGGTCATCCCAACAAGTGTTTAGTTCTCAGCAGAGAGGGTAGCTCCTTTCTGTATCTGGTCGTCTCATCATCGCTGGTCGTCCCATCATCTGCAGCTCTCAGCAGAGAGGAGGCCCTAGAGGGAGTAGCTCCTCTCCGCAGCTGGTCCTCCCAATGTCTGCTCTGCTCTGGCTAAGCTCAGTGCTTTTATGGGCCTCAGAGGGGAGGAAGTACATGCTGACTGGCTCATGAGCAGCAATGAACAGGATCAGAAAAGGCACCATGAGTTCCCACTCTAGTCTATGGGACTAGGAGCCTGGCCTCCAGCCTTCAGACCCTCCTGGGCCCGAAGGTGGGGCCTTACTGGGGACCTGCCCCCTTCTGCCCAGGAACCTGTTGTCTCCTGCTGCGTTCATGGCACCAAGGGGCTGTAGGTGTCAGAGGGCACCTGCAGGCCAGCACCAAGCTGCCCTCAGCTCACTATTGGTTTCCCTCATATGCTCTTTGGTGCCCAAAGTCCAGAGGAGACTGAGGTGGCAGGGTAATGACAGGTCAGCACTTCCCTGATTGTGTGCACACCTGGTCGGGCTGTCACAGTGCCTGGGCTCAGCTCCAACTTTTCTCCAAGATCAGAATGAGAGCCAAAAGCAGAGAGAAGCCAGGCAGTGGGAGTGGGCAGTTTTGAGCCTGCAAAAGTGCAAAAGTGCCTGGGTCCAACTGCCTCTGAGAGCATAAGGATCTTGCCAGCTCCTAGCCCCCCAACAACATGCATGAGCCCAGGATCCACAACCATGACTTTGGGCAGCTGTAGCTGCACCTGGGAGAAAAGGGCTCCTGCCTCCCCCTGCCTGCTCACAACTTGGGTGGCTGCAGCCCTGCCCAGGAGGACAAAGCTCCTGTCTGCTCCCAGCCCCAGAAGTACAGGGATGCCTGGGTCCATAGCCATGGCTTGGGCAGCTGTAGTGGCATCCAGTGAGCTCCCATCTCAATCCCACCCCCAGCTCTTGCTGGCTCCGTGGGTGTATAGACCTAGCCATGCCTCCCTGTTGCAGCAAGCTTGATGGCAGCGGCAGCTCCAGATAGCCTGCTATTGTCATCACAACCATCACAGGGCGTGAAGCTTTTCCAGGTTGTGGTTTTCATCACTCTTATGGTGGTAGAGACGGAAGAGGAGGTGGAAGTCATGTACATCTGGATTCACTATGGGATAGGCTGTGAAGGCTAGACTTGTAGAGGTGTACTTCAGTGAGACTGATACTCTATTTTTAAACTAAGACATCAGGAAGCAAGCACTTGGGGGTTCTTCTCATGTATTATGGAGGAAGAATTGAATTGATTTTTTGCCATGCATTTTACAGAATGCATGACAAATATATCTGGGTATCCTATTCTCATTTTCCAATGAGCAGTATATCTCAATTATTTTTAAATATAGATGAGTCTTTTCAACATTCAGTGCTACTTGAATAAGCAACAACCAATAAACATTTATTTTTCTATCGAACTTCCGGTATAGGAGAGTCTCCTAGGGAGGGAGAGCAATGTGACGTAATTTATTCCTAGCATATGGGAACAGTCGTTTTGTTTTGATTTCAAATTGTGCCTTCATTTAAAAAATTGCATTGTGAGCCTTTTGCTTCAAAGTACTTCTAAGAAGTAACTTACGGAGTTACTGTTTTTTAAACCACAATCAAATGGCAGGTTTTATTTCCTTTCTTATTATTTCACAGCTTCATAAGTGAAATAAAGATATCCTGATAAGTCATCTTACCCAGACCATATTACCTTATGAAAATTCAGAACTAACTACACTCAACTTTCCTTTTTTCTCTTAACTGAGTTTATTTGATCCTTATCTGATGAACATGTAGTTGACATTAGATATTTTTTCAATGTCAAAGTTGGAAGAAGTAGTATGTTTGGTGTAGGTGTACAGAAGAGTGAAATAAACATTATCTTTCTGGTATAAATATATAATATGTACCTTAATCTTGCTTTCCTTTGGATATTAAATGTGTAGAGGATTTTATAGAAAGGTGCCACCTGATTTCATTGTTCCAAGATTAAATATATCTATGGAAAACAATGTCATTTTCAACAGAACTAAATAACCAGGAATACTTATGAACATTGAGGTCACAAGTAGAATGCCAGAAAATAAGGCTTATTTGGGAATCAACAGATTTTCTCTTGTAGCTTATTGTTACTGAATGTTGGTGTCAATTAAAGAAACTTTCATGGTGAAAATACCTTCCTAGAATTCATCCCAAGAAGTAGCCTTGTGGATGTAGCTTGTGGTGAAGTTGCCAAATTTTGCTCTAATATCAAAATTTAAATTAATGATTCTTTAACTAAATTGAATTCTTTCTAGATTATGGTTATTCTTGTGAACTCTCTGGTACCAAGACTTTCCCTTGCACATATTCAGTCCACTTCACTTGGCATCTCCCATAGCCTAAAAAATACCCAACTCACCTCCCTGTCTGCATCCAGCCCCACTCTTTCCCTTCACATCCACCCCCACCCTCATTTCACTCACATCTCTTTCTTACGCTCTTATTCTCACTTTCTCGCTATGGAACCTGGTTTTATTAGTCTACTCTAAGTGCCCTCTTAAATGTTACCAGAGATTTGCTACTTACGAAATGGTCTTTTTTTTTTTTTTTTCCTTCATTGGACATCACTTCTCAGCCATGATTTTACATTGTTGACTACCCCTTCTTTCTTTAAATTCTCCATCCTTTGGGACCATTTAAATTATGGCACCCTTTGAATTTATTTCATTTCCTATGGTTTGCTAATATTATGTCTTCAACTCTATTTCATACACCTTGGTAAGCTCCTCCAGATGTGTGATTGCATAGTACCTCATTGAAAATAAGTCTCAAGTATTTATATTCTTATTTGAACCCAGAATCTGGCACTTATCAAATACTCACATATTTGTTAAACAAATGAATGAGTGAATGAATAAATAGGTGAACAAGTGAAACTCTCCAATGATGTCCAGTCTTAAAGTCCCTTCTGCCATTGATCACGTTCACTACTTGAATTTACCTGGCAGTGGATAGGGGTTATGAGCTTGCTTGACCATAGGGGGCAGGCTAGCAATGTAAATGAGTACAATAGGTTAGTAAAACAGGTGGCAAACTGGAACGCCTTCTGTGATGAGGACAGAAATTACTGAACTCCAACTTCCTGCTGCTCTATAAGAATGTAAGCTTGGCTTTTAAAGAAAAACAAAAAAAAACCTAGATTTTAAAAATATGAAATGTGATTTTGTAATCTGATTTTTTAAAAAAGCTCTGTAAGCCAACAAACCATTTCTGCAAATTGTTTGGTGTATGGATGCCATTTTGTGATTTCAAAATGAGGCAGATATGCCTCTTTAAAATCTGTACTTGGTTTCAAATGTAGGAAGCCTATTAAGTTAATCCATCTTGATTATTTTCTTGTTTTGATTTTTTGATATTTTGACATTTTGATATCCTATTTCTGTAACTTGTTTGTCACTGTGTGAATGTTTTTAAAAATATTTTCTTTGCATTTCAATATTTTGCACAAGAAATTCTAACTTTTCACAAATAAAATATATTTGTTTCACTTGTTTCTTTCTAAATAACTTAGAAATTGATGTAACTCTGATATATAAAATCTTCTGGGCAACTGTGTGTATCCTTTGGGTGATAGTTATTCTTGTTTACAAACTATAGTTTTTATACTGGGAATAAAAATTTTATAGCCAGCATTCTCTATATGTGCATAATAATAGCACTTTGGGTTGTAGTTTTCTCACAAATAAAATTTGTATGTAGTGAGAATTGTGGTTTTATTCTCTTGAGGTCGTTCAGCAGATAATTAAAATATTGATAAGTTGGTGATTGGAGATTGGGTGAAA